TATTGATTGTAGTGGGTTTTCATTAAATTTTAATTCAAATGATTATTGGAATAAAATAATTAAAACAATACATTATATATTATCACAACCTGAAATTAAACAAAATATTTCTGTTTATTTACTTCATCCAACAAAATTAGTTATTAATTCATTTCAATCTTTATTTAAAGAAGAAAATATTCAAATTATTGACAATTATAATATTTTAGAATTAAAATGGGGAGAATCAAATACTTTAATCCCTGAAGACAGTAAAAATTTTGTTAAAACAAATCAAATTCAAATTTATAAAGAACAAAAAGGAAAAATGAATGAAGAACAATTAATAATGAGTTTAGTTGAAATTATGAGTATTAAAAAAAATAAAATTCAATGGGAATTAGAATATAAAGATATTGATAAAATTATGTTATATGAACAAAAAATGAATTATGCTATTATTCGTAGTTTTACTGAAGGAAAATTAAATACTATTCAAATTAAATTTGATACTATTACTACTAAAGATGAATTTATTAAAAAATTATATGAATCTTGTTTTTATCGTTCTATGTTAGATAATAATTGTTTAATCGTTTATGCTGAAAATATTAGTATTAAAAAAGGTAAAAAAGTTATTGGAAATAGTTGTATTCTTATGATTTGTTTAGATAGTTTTATTGTAAAAAAAGGTAATGAAATTGAATTGTCTATTGGATTTGCTGCTATAGAAAGAGTAAGTGTATTACCATATAATGATTTAACTTCTAAAATTCAAATTTGTTATAAAGATGTAAAAGATCCATTATTAAATAGTACTATTAAAGAATGGTTAATTGAAAAGAAAAATGAACAAATTAGAGAGAAATTAAATTATATGATTGAAAAATTTAATGAAACAAAAAATCAAATGTAATTGAATTTCTTTTATTGTTTATTTATTATTTCATTTTTCTTTTTATCATTTTTCTTAATACATTTTAATTGCAATAATTCTTTCTGGAATAAAATCATAGGTAGATATTAATGGATGTTTATCTCCATTATATTCATATGAAAATGGTTCACAAGAACTTCTCCCTATACCTTGTGTTTTTGCAATTTGTATATCAACCCCTTCACCAAATGTAATTAAAAAATCATTTTCCGCATTATATAAACAATATGATTCACCAATTTTATTTCCTTTAAAAGGAAATTTTAATTTTTGATATCTTTTATTTTTATATAATGAAAAGACAAATGCTTTAGGATCATTAATTTCAATATTAACTTCTTTTATTCTATGAGAAATAAATCCTCCAAAAATATCTTGATTAGTTGCAATCACTATGATAAATAAATGTGACTTTTTCATGACTTTTCTTGAAAAAATTTCATTTCCTATTTCAAACCCTTCAATATCTGAATCAAAAAGAATTTCCATTCGTTTTCTTTCACTCCATTCTTCTAATGTCTTAATGATTTCTTTTTGTTTTAATTCGTCATCTGAAAATGGATAAATGGTTTGTTCTTCTTTATCATATAATTTATTTGTTAAAGAACTTTCATTAATACTTAGTGTCTTAGAAAATGTTTTACTAATAAAAGGTAATATTGGAATAAGTGTATTTGAAGATTCTTTCTTTACTACTTTTTGACATTGTTGTTCAAAGATATTCTCTATAATCTGAAAAATTACTTTATATTCATTATCTTCTAATGAAGTGATTCTTTGTTTTAATTCAGAAAGAACTGTTGAAGAAATTTCCATTTTAATTTAATTAAGTTCTTTTGGGTTTTTTATTCCTTTTTTTTTTGTTTTTTATATTTCTTAAAAAATGATCCAAAAATGAATCGAATATTAGTAGTATCTTTTTTGTGCTATTTTTTTGGCTGTTTTAGTTTTATTGTCTGGACCGTTAGTTTTTGCCTTAGTTATACTTATTTGAGTTATTTTTGTTGTTGATCAGAATCTCAGTTTTGTTTAATAGTTTTTATTTTTAGTTTTTACAAGTGAGTTGACTACTATTAAAAGAAGCATGACTAATCTAACGTATTGCACCATGACTATGTTCTAATGTTGGACATAATAAACCGCTCTCTGAATGTAAATTTATAATATATGAAACCATATCTCTACCAGTAAATAAACGACCAATTCATCTCTACAAAATACAGTTATTCAACTAAAAAAATAGACAATAAAATAGAGTTATGAAAGATAAGATTAGGAAAATGAAAGAATAAAGAAGAGACAAAACAAAACATAAGAAGAAGATAAAGAAAATAAAAATGAAATATTATTTGAACATTAGTCAATTTCTTTTATTCATTTTATCCTTTTTCTTCTAAATTACAATAAAACTAATATCAAGTCTATATAACTCATATTCATTTTTGTTTCTTAAGAGAATTAAGTTATTAGAATAGACTTTATTGAAACTTATAGACTTAAAAATATCTTTAAAGAATCTTTAAAACAACTAAGATGGGAAATACTAATACACAACCTCTTCATGAAACAAAAGATGATGAAGATATGTCTGTTATTAAAGAAAAAATAAAACCGCAAGTTGATATTCAAGAACAACAAATAACCAAGAATATAACTTATAAAGGAATAGACTATCAAACTAAAAGTTGCAATGAAGTAGTTAACAATCCATATAAACAATGGTCATGTTTATTTCATTCATTCAATGAATCTGATGAACAACACAAACATTATACTGAACAAGGCTTTGTATCGGAAAAAATGGATTATAAAGACTGTCCTAATATGAATAATTTTATTGAACATTCAGTTGAAAAATATTATGTAAAAAAGAGAGTAGATACTAAAAAAAAAAATAGTAACAGAACCAAATCTGGACCTTCATCAAGATTTTCTCCATTCTTAGTTCCTATATTACCTAAACCTGCTTCAATAAAAGAAATACATAAAGTCAATAAATTAAAGAAATGGACTAATTTGTCATATTTTAGAATGGTGTATTTTAGTGGTATAGATGAGTTATCAACAAGAGGATTTTTAAGTAAAGTCTGTGGATTAAATAATCTATTAATAATTGTTACAACTCCATCAGATGAATGTTTTGGAGTTTTCAATGGTTCAACATTACCAGCTCAAATTACTGGTTTGACGTATATTGAAAGTGAATTTTTCTTTTTTTTTATCTTCACCAATAATGGTGAAAAATTTAAATTTAAAAGAAAAGCAACAAGTCAAACTAAACGTAGTCTTACATTATATCCATCAACTGAACAAGAATTTATATTTTGTGCTTTTTGTTCATTTTGGATTACAAATAAAGGAAGAATAGGAATTCATCCTTTAATGAGAGATCAATTTGATTTAAGTTCTGTTGTAAACCCACTTGGAGGGATAAAGAAAACTATTAAAGAATTAATTGTAGTTCATTGTTATTAATTCTTTATAGACTCTTTGAATTATTTGTTTGAACTATGAAGAAACAAAAATAGAATTAGATGGTCTAAAAAAAAATTTTAATCAATTATTTAACCATTTTTTAGCTTCTTCATTAACAAAAAGTTTTAAGAATGATATTCTTTTAAATGAACATATACATTTACTCCATTGAATATCATCTTTTTTAATATGTGCAATTTGATTGATCATTTCACTTGTAATATTTTCACTTGCAAGAATTTTAAATTTATCAATACCAATATAATTTAAATATTTATTTCTTTCTTCTTCATTTAAATCTTTCCAATTTCTTTCAAAACAATCAAAATTAGATGGAATTTCTTTTGGACATTTTATAGAAGTTTTTATTTCCTGAACATCTTTAGTTAATTTATCTTCTTTATTAATTAATGTTTCAATTGTAACCAATGCATTTGTAGCTTCTTTATTTCCTTTTTCTAATTCAAGAACATAAAGATAATCTTTTTTAGCTTCAAAATATTTTTTAAAATGCATAGAAATTAATGCTCTTCTAAGTAATGCTTTTACATATAATGGATTACATTGTAATGCCAAATCAATATCTTTTTGTGCTTCTTCATACTCTTCTAATTTAATTTCTACAAGTGAACGATTTCCATAATAAATAGACTCTCTTGGATTTTCTTTTATTGCCATTGTATATTGTTCTTTTGCTTCTTTATAACGTTTTTGTTGAAGAAATTCATTTCCCTTTAATTTATATTCTTCTCCTTTACAACCCATTAAATTTATTTTTTTATTTTTTATAGTTTTATTTATTATTATTTTAATTATTAATTCTTTTATTATAAATTTTTATTAAAATAAAAAAAAAAAAACATTCTTAAAATAACAAAAAAAAATAATGCTATTAATTTAATTTGTCCATCTTCTTATACAATTCAGTTATTGCTTCAATACATTTTTGTTCATCTTTAACACAATTTAATGGGAAATATTCGCATGAATGTTTTTTACAAAATTCATCAATCATTTCTTTTTTAACTGAAGGTTGCTTATCTTCATGAAGATTTCCAACAAGAATTACTGGTGCATCAAATCCCATTACTGCACGATCAAAACATTCATAATATTCTTCTAAATCAGCAAATGAAGGACCAATTGTTGTATCAAAAAATAATATAATACCATCTGAATCTTTAACATCATATTCTATCATTCCACGATATTCTTGATTACCAGGACTGTCTAATATTTTTAATTTATATGTTTTACTTCCCATAATAAGGTCATAAAGATACTCTTCATCTAACGTTGAAATATGAAATTGGTCATGTTTTTGGTGAAGTAATGTTTTAATAAATGCAGTTTTCCCAGTTTCTCCATCACCACAACAAGTAATTGTTAAAGTTCTTTGAAACATTTTAATTATATTATCTTAGTTCTACAGGGTTTTTAAATAATCTTTTCTTTATATTGACGTTTGTACCACGTCAATTGAAAAATAACAGAATATCTAATGAATAAATTAAAGATAAAATCAAATTCAGGGTTCATTGTTTATTTCAATTGTTTTTCTTTTGCCTCCTTTTTAATATTTCTTTTGATTTGTTTTTTTAGTTTACGTTCTTGTTTTTTCTCTTTACGAGTTTTTTTCTTTTCTATTTTTCGTGGTTTAGTTTCTTCTACTTTCTTTTCTATTTTTTGTGATTTACTTTCTTCTACTTTCTTTTCTATGTTATGTTGTTTTTGGTGGTTTAATGCTTTTTTCATTTCTTTTGATTTAGTCAAATGATTAAAAAATCCCATTAACTCGCTCCTAATTTGTTGTTCTTCTTCATCTCCTAAGTCATCTTCCTCTAAACTTTCTGCTTCCAATTCTTGGTCTTCTTCTTCCATATCATCATCATCCTCATTTTCATTTTGTTCTTCTTCATTATTATTATCATTTTCATCACTTTCCATTGTTGGGTCCTTTTCTGATGACTCATCCATTTCATCATAATTCATTTCTCCTTCTTCAAGGGAACTTTCTGCATCTTTATCTTCAGTCTCTTTATTTTTTTTTACTTTGACAACAAGCTTATTTGTTTTTTCCTTTTTTTTTTCTTTTTTTTCTTCTGTAGCATGTTTCTTATTAAAATAAGCAGCAAATATACCTTTTCTATCAGACATAATCAATTAATTTATTCTAAGATATATGAAAAGAAAAAATTATGAATTTAAATTGTATAAATTGTTTTATTAATTTTTTTTTGCTAAAGAAATAATATTAATAAAAAACATTATGTGAACTAGAAAAAGAAATAAAATGAACCGAAGGTTGTTTGTTGGAAACTTAGAATATCAAATTAAAAACTTTGAACTGAAAGAGTTTTTTGAAAGGTTTGGAAAGGTGGTTGATGTTGTAATTATGGAAAGATATGATGGTGCTTCAAAAGGATTTGGGTATGTTGAATTTGATACAGAAGAGTCAGCTCAAAAAGCACTTAGAGAAGGTAATAACGAGATGTTAAGAGGTAGAAATATTCGTGTAGACATGGCTACTGAAAGAAAGCAACATGAACATAAGGAACGATCAAGAAGTCGAGAGAGAAACCAACACATTTTCAAGACTGGTGCTCCATTTTCGTTTCGGGATAGTTTTTCAAGAGTAAAAGACTTTCCAGTAAGAAGAGATTTTGACTACTCTAGAAGTTATGAATTTTATAATAAAAATCCACAAAGCTTTGACAAAGAAAGTAAACAAGTTTATTGTACTGATCAAAGATATGACAGAATGAGTTTTGATCCATATGTCAAGAAAAGACAAGAAAATTATGATTTTATTTATGAACCTTTAGAGAGATATCGGTATGATGCATCATTGAGGTCAGATGGTTATATGAGACGAATGGATAAATATCAAGAGAGTTATAAAAGGGGAGGTGAAAGGATAATTCAACGAGATGAATTATGTAATAATGATGGTTTAAGAACCAAAGAAACAAATTTTGGATTAAGTGAAACAGTTATTTTTGTGAGGAATCTTCCATTTAGTATGGATAGTTTTGAATTAAAACAACTATTTGAGCCATGTCATTCTATTGATGCAAGCGTTGTTTATGACAGAGATACAAACAAAAGTAAAGGATATGGTTTTGTTGTTTTTGATACTTCAATTGATCAACATACAGCTATAGAACAGTTTAATAATTATCTTGTAGAAGGTAGAAAAATAATGGTGTTTAAGGCATCTCTTCTTCAAGAAGAAAGAACAAAAGCAATGAGATAACTTCTCAAATAAAGAAGAAGTATCTTTTATTTTACAACAAAAAAAAATATTATTTGTTATTCATTCAACAAGAGAAAATTCAGAAAAATTAAAATAACTGTTTATGTCATCAATAAGGTCTTCTTTTATTGTTATAAAAACAAAACAAAGAAAAAGATTAATCTTTATCCAATCTATTACCTGAAAACTAAACTCTTTTTATTTTTTCTCATCAAAGAATAATAAAAAAAATTTATGTTTTGTTGAAAGGTATATTTTTTATTTTGTTGAAAAAATACATCATTTTTTTGTTTCTCATTCAGTTGATAAAAATAAAATATCACCAAAATTATGAATCATCTAAAGTTAGAATAACAGAAATCAATAGAAAAAGAATTAAAGAGAAATTTTTGTATCTTTTCCAAGGAGGTAAAAAAAGGAAACTAGAAAAGAGAAATTAGAGTCAGTGTTAATGGGGGAAATGAAGCTTATGAATGGTAGTGTTATATACCTTGTTTGTTTTATTTTTATTAACTAAGTTGTTGTATTAATTTTTCAACTTCCTTAATAGATTTCTCATTTTTTATATTAAATTGGTCAATATAAATTCTTTTTAAAAAAGACCTTTTGTTTATTTACAAGTATATTCCTTCATTAGTTAAAACAAAAAGTAACTTATAGATAACAGCGACAACATTAATAATCGTTTTGTCTTATATTTTTGGAGATATTTCTGATTTAATTATTTATGACGGTCAACAATTTCTGCTTTTATGGCAGTTATTAGGACTTTCTCTTTCTGTCACATTTCATATCTTCGAGACTATATCTCTTTGTATTATTATTATTATCACACATCACTTCCTTCAGTCTCAAAGAAGAAAATTTGTTTTTGGTATTTTTCTTATATCAACGTCAGCAGTCTTAACAGCAATTACACTATGTACAGGGATAAATGGAAGTATAGAGTCTATTGATTGGAAATTATTGGACCATTCTCAAAAATTAAGTGTAGAGCAACAAGTTTGTTTGATTTTAAAATATAGTGTTAAGTATTTTTTTTATCTATATGTTTTATAACCTTATGTTATATTAACAAGTTTTAGGGACAATGTTGTTTTAACTCAACCACTTTTGATAGTGAAGAGTGTGGGTGTATTTTAGATGACCAAACTCAATGTACCAAATGTAATTTTGAAGGAGGAAGAAAGTGTTTATGGATATCAATTCTAATTGATTCTATAACAGTTGTTCTGCTTTTGTCGATGGCTCTTTTGTCTTTGCTTCACAGACAAATTAATGATATTGTTAATAAAAATACTGTTGGATATGACCAACTGACTGAATAATAAAACTATTTTTAATATCCTTCTTTAATTTAAGTTATATATAACATAAAAATATTTAATAATATTTTCTAATAAAATAATATTTAGTTAATCGGGAATTATTTTTTGAAGGGAACTTCAGTGTTTAGTTATATAAAAGATGATTCGACCAGCACATAAATCACTAAGAACACGTTCTCAAATTATTGGTAAAAAGGAAATAAGGTTGTTGGTAGTTGGAAGTTCTGGAGTAGGAAAGACAACACTTTGTGATTGTTTTTTTGAAAGTCATCAAAGTCAAGGAGAAGAAACAGTTTGTTAGTTTTTATTTATATTGTTTAGTTTTATTTAAATGGTGTAATAAAGTAGAGAGAAAAACATGTTCAAATTGATAATGATTTTATTAGAATTTCTATTAGTGATATTGTTGGTAAACAATCGTTTTATGCATGTGATAATCCATATGATGGATATGACGCTATATTAGTAATGTACGATATAACTGAGTTAAAATCTTTTACTGATTTAAAAACAATGTGGTTACCAGATATATTTTTATACTGTAATATTGATACACAAATTATTATTATAGGAAATAAAAAGGATCAAGAGATTGATCGTATTATCACACGAAAAGAAGCAGAACAATTTGCACAAGATAGACTTTGTCAATTTTATGAGATTTCAACGAAAGATGATTCTTGTCAATTATTATTTGATTGTATTTCAAGAGATTTTTTACAGTGGTTTGTCTTATACACAATAAATCAATCAATTAACATAATATTTATTGTATTAGTGATATTAAAATTAGAATGTTAATGGTAGGAGATCAAAATGTTGGAAAAACAACATTTATTAGAAAATTTGCATTGCAAGACCCCACAGGGCATGATTTTATGAATGCAGTTTGTTTGATAAGATATTTTTAAATAACAAAAAACATTCATCTTATAGATAACAACTCGGTTTGAAATGGAAAAGATTAAATATGAAATTATCATGATTGATTGGGGATTTTATAATAAATTATTACAAACAAATCCAGCAATTAGTAGAACAATTGAGGCAATATTAATTGTTTATGATATTACAAATGAAGAATCATTTCAAAATATCCATAGAAAATATTATCCTTTAATTAATAATAAATTTAGTGATGTAGCTGGTGTTATTGTAGGATATAAAACAGATCTAGAAGCTCAAAGAAAAATTACAATGGGTGATGCATTAACTTTAGCTGATTGGTTAGGCTATAAATATGTTGAAATGTTTTCAAAAGATACAGAAGACCATTCATCA